AAGAATGTGCCTATTCTGAAAGGAATAGAGGTACTTTATCTGGGAGAATTGAAACCAGGTATTTATTGTCTCCCCCTTAAATCACTTGAAAGATAGTTTCTTTAAGTTCTTGCTCTCCATCTTGTGGTTTAATATAACACCAGGTCAAATGCTGTGCATGTCTACTCTTGCAATACCCTATTGAATACAATGTGCCTGAATGGGCAATCAAGGTAGAACTCTCAGTTTGCTTCAGTATATTGTGCCCAGTGAACTCATGAGCCTCTAGTTCTCCAGACTGGGTTGCGAGAGAAGTGAACATACAATCTGTCATCGCTAAGATACTTGAAAAATGCCATGAAAGCCAGCTAACTAAAGAGAGACCAAATGATTACTGTTACAAACAAAGTATAGTAGCTGCCATGTACCACATAATCTACCTTGAATAGTGCTACCTAGTGGAACTCAAAATACAGTGGTATAGCTACTAGGTACTCCTGAAACTTTATATCTTGTGATCATTAAGATCCAACTCAGATTGCCTACCTTTAAATTAGTAGATCAGTCCCTTCTTAACAGTAAGTTCAGGAAGTCTGGCTTTTCCATCCAAAGTTTTGGTCCCATTTCCTGTCACTGTTTAATCAGTCTTTCTGTAATCAAAATAATTTAGTGGGACCAGTGACTAGGATACTGGACTGCCCCGCCAAAGAGGTGAGTATGTGTCTTAAGCACTAGACCACAGAACTGTGATGTGGTGGGTGCAACAGTCCATCTCCGAGATGTACTAGAACAAGAGAAATGGTCTCCTTTGAAAATGGCACAACATCCTTTTGTACAAGGGAGCATGATAACCTGTTTGTGTCCTAGGAAGGAGTTCTTCCTTGCTCTTCAGTGTTTTACACCAAAGAAAGAAAGTTGAAGTCATGTGGCTCAGCCAGCTACAGGCTAGAACCAAGAAACAGCCCAGGAAAGCTTGAAAGACTGTGAATGGACCTGTTTGTGTGCAAGTGGAGTTAGAAAACCAAAAGTCATACAGCATAAGATGCAGACAATCAAATTCTGTAACAGCTAAAGGGAGCTAGGCTTTCCATATGCCTTGCCCTTCATGGCTGCTGAATGGAAGGATGGCAAATGAGATCATGAAGGAACAGGCCTTGGTGATTTTATAATTGCTTTTAACCCTGAGGTCTTGGCTCCCAGATCTGACTGAAATGCAGCTGAACCTTCCAAACTTTCATAGTTGTTAGGGGCTGGAAAGGACCTTGCAAGTCATCGGGTCCAGCTCCCCTGCACTTGGGCACACTGCACTTTCAACATACACTAACCACAGTGCAATAGGGGTTTATCTTGGAAGAACCTGGACAAGTTGCCTAATGTCAGCTCATTCAAAGAAGACTTAAAAACACTCCCTCTAGCATAACAGATCGATTTATAAGGTTCAGTTTCCCCTTACACTTTTGTTGCCTATTTGTAGTCTACAGTACCACACAAATGCTTCACCAAGTAGTTGTTTTGTAACAATGTTTAAAAACTGAGGACCTCAATTTGCATGGCTTCCTAGTCTACCTTTAACTTAACAGGGCTTTCTAGTAATCATTACCAAGACAAGTCTTATACCCTGATCAATAGACCACGCATCTTTAAAGGATACCTCTTTTTCTCATCCTGTGGAATGATCTGTTTTAAACAAGCACTTTCACTTTGGCAATCACTTTTATTCTTAGTTGCCTTACATTTTTTTCCTTTCCAATTTCTTTCTGGGTACGTAGTGCATTGGAAAACAATCATCAGTGTGTTTCAGCTTGCTTATTCCCCAAGGCAGTTTTGCCTGTAACTAACCAAAGTTCACGTCAACAAGCTTCGGAAACTTTTGCAATTAGCAGCTGGTAGTTTGTTTAGCAGTTGGCTATCACTGTTTATTAAGCTGCCTATGCATTTAGCTTACTTAATTAGTCACAACCAATTACCAATAGGTTGCTGCTCTGCTCTGTGCCACTTGTCACTGAGTCAAGCAGATTCTCCCTTATATATTTTAAAACACAGCAGGCATGCTTGTGGTTGACTGATTAATCACTGCCTGACAGGGCATCTGTAGTGGGAGAGCCATATTCCTGCAGCCACTGAAAGCAACTGAATGACTTTCAGTGACTGCAGCAGGAGCAGGTCAGAGTTCAGGGAGAGCAGGATCTCTATAACTCGCTTTGCAGGCAGACTGGAGAGAACTCCACAAAGTTTGATGCACATAGTTACTTAAAGACAAAGGTCTGAGACTGTGTCCTTCCAGCCCTTTGAACAATATAGATTTGCTAAAGGCTGGAAACTTGACTCTATGGCACACAAACCAAATGCTACCAGTACTTTACAATAGCTGCTTGAAAAATGGCTGGCCTACATCAGGCCTTATTTTTCCTATTGCAGTGGAAGGGATAAGAGCCAATCAGTTCTGGCCAGTGGGTGATGGGAACTGATGTCTCTCTGGCCCTGTTCTCCTTCACTACTGTTGGGCCCCTGTAGGGCATTGGGAGGTTGCTGTTTGTGACCTCGTTCTCTGTTCTTACAGGTTTATTG